GGCGCGGAGGTTCTCGCCCGCCCGGGCTTCTTAACCCCTCTTGAGAATGACATGTTTGGGCCACTTCAGCCTTTTGCAGCAGAAAAGTTGCAGCGACCTTTGCACGGCTGTCAGCCCCCCGGGTCCAGCGAGGCCAAGCTCAGCACGCGGCTTCCGCCCCTGCCCTCCCCGCTCAGGGGTTTCGGCCCCCCCGGCCCGTGGGGATGAGCCGCACACAGGGGCCCCCGCGCCCTGGGGCGGCAGCGTCTGCCTCTGCGGGCGGACAGCCCCAGCTCGATTTCTTCCCCCAAGTCGGGAAACCGTCTGAGCCCCGCGGCCGGGGCTGAGCCGACTTGGGGCGCACGCGCCGGTCGCCTCACATCATGCGGGGGGCCAGCCCCGCGTGGCCTGCAGCCGCCGGCCTTCTCCGCGGCCCGCTCGGTCCCCTCCCAGGACACGGGCCTGCTCCGGTGACGCTGGCCTCACTCCTGGTCGGGCTGACGTCCAGCCCCGGCCCACGGGGCGGCACTGACCATTGCCTGGACGCCGTCTGACTGCTGGGTGAGGGGGCGGCGGCAGCCTCCTCTTTGCCCTGCTGGCCGGGGCCTCCGGGGCTGGGGACGCTGCGGCCGGAGCCCCGCCCTCGCCCGCAGCACCCCGGGGCAGCTGCCAAAGGGCTTCACCGCCACGCTGCCGGGGGCCGGAGCCCCGGAAGCCACCTGCCGTTCTCCCTGTGAGCGTGGGTGGGCTCGCGTACGCGCGTGAGCTCGGCGTGGCCCCTCCAGGGCGCCCGGCCCCCCGCCCCGTGGCAAGCCTCGCCTTTGGGGCCACAGGGCGCCGGCCCCGGTGTTCTGCCCGGCCCGGGCCTGGGACCCACCGTTTCTGAGAGGCCCCTCACGGGGGCTCGTGCTCGCGAGTGCTCACTGCTGCGGGCCTGGCGCCCCGGACACTCCGCGCAGCCAGGGTGAGCAGCCACGAGACACGGAGGGAGAGCCCTTGGCAGCGTGGCAAAGCAGGCACAGGCAGCTCCGCGGAGCGGGGAACGCCCCGACGGCAGCAGCTCTCCGCGCCTCCCGGGGTGCTGCTGTGGGACTCACCCCGTGTTCTCTTCTGGCCCTGGGGCTTGACTTTCCTGAGTGTGGTAGGACACGCACCCGCCTTCGGGCCGTGGGGTGACCGTCTTCCCCTTTGAAGTGTAGGCTCCCGTGGCACCCGGCGCGCCCCCATTGTGATGCGTCCCACAACTTCGCGTGGCCCCGGCGGGCCCCCCTCCAGCTGGCCCCCCCAGCTCCTGGCAGACACTAGCCGGCCTGCTGTCTCTGGGTTTGCCTGTTCTGGATAGTTCATATCACTGGCACAGACACAGGACGGAGCGTTTCCCGACAGTTTGGAAGGTTGGTCCCTCTTCCCTTTTAATGGCAGCGTAATATTCCACATGCCGAGGGAGGTGGCATTTTACTAATCCAGTGACCTGCTGGTGGCTGTCCAGGCCTGTGACCTCTGCAAACACGCAGATGTGAGCAGGTGTGGGGGGTGTTGCTCCTTCGGGGTACATACCCAACGGGGCTTCTGGGTCGTTTGGTAACCCGGCGTTTGACTTTCTGGGAAGTGCCGACCGCCTGCCTCAGCACGTTCCCACCAGCAGCCAAGGGGGATTCCGTTTCCACCACGTCTCTGGCAACGCTTGTTCCTTGCCGCGACCACATCGCCGTTGTCCTCGCCATCCCTGTGGGTGTGGCGGAGCCTCGTGGCGGGCGTGGGTTTACGTGGCCACTCCCCGGTGACGCCGGGCGTCTTCTCGCGCACTTGCTTGTCCTGGGTAGATGCCCTCTGGAGCAATGCCTGTTTCTCCTCTGTCCATCCCACAGCGGGGCTGTCTTCCTGCTGCTGCGTTACAGCAACTCCTTACATACTCTGGATGCTGGATACTCGAAGGCTGCAGGACGTGCAGATGTAGTCTTTTTATGCTCTTAATTGTGCAAAATTTTAAAATTTTGGTAGCAGCGAGGTTTGATGACTGAAAACCCCTGACTTGTGCTGCTTCTCGGATTAGGCTCTTAAGCTTGATGAGATGGAAGCTTTCCCTCAAAGCCCCGGCCGGGCTTGCCTGTTCTCTTTCAGGGGAGGCCTGGGCGCCGAGGAGATGGCCCAGAGCTGAATCCCATTGCCTGCAGGGGCTGCCTCTGGGCAGCAGGCGCCCAGCCTGGCTGTCCCTTCGGCTCTTCAGAAGAAGCAGGCCGAAGGCAGACCTCAGCTCAGGCCCCTGCCAAAGCCGGGCTTCCGCATGGAGGCGAGCACGCTGGGAGTCCTCTCTGAGACCCAGCCCTGGGGTTCGGGAGCCGAGTGGCTCGGTGGCAGGCTGAAGCCCAGGTGTCCGACGTGGGGGAAGAACTAAACGGAGTCTTGGCTTCTGGAGCCCTGGGCACGTGGTCTTCACAGACTGGCTCTCGGCCGTTGAGTCCAGCGGCCGGCCGGCTCTGACCACGGGCGCTCGGAGGCCTCCCGTCGCCGGCCGCTGTGGTCCCCGGGGACGCCCTGCTGGGGTGCGGTTCCTGTACAGCTGGGGTCCCTTTAAGACCCTAAGGACCGCTGGAGTTTCACCCTTTTTAGGTGTTGCGCCCTGGACCTAATTCTCGCTCTTGCCTGTCTCCACGCGGTGCCCGCGGGCTCAGACGTCCAGGCTGTTCAAGCCAGGAGGTTGTCTGGCCAGAAAAGCCAGCCTCTTGTCCCTCGGCGCCCCTGAACCCTGTCCCGGGGCCACGAGGCTGTGCGCCCACGCTCAGAGTGTGTCGGGGCCCGAGCGAGGGGGAGCCACCAGCAGCTCCCGGGAAGGGACGTGGGGGGCCCTGAGCCGACGGGGCGCCTCAGCCAGCGCCCAGTGCCCCGTGACCTCTGGAACTCTCCGTGAAACACGACACAGTAGGTGCGGGCGCAGGAGAGCCCGGCAGGCCTGTGCCAGGGCGCGGCCTCTCGCGGAGGCCGCTGCCCCCTGGCACAGCGGGGCCTGGCTCGGCCCAAGGCTCTCGGGACCTGGTGCTTTTCAGGGGCAGCCCAGCACCTCCAGGGTTCCGGCGGAGCTGCCGCCGCTGCGTTTTCCCCGACTGATCTACCAAGCCGACCCCGACCGGGAAGGGGCACCGTGGCCCTCGGTGCCCCCGCTGGCCCCAGCAGGCCCCGCGCTGCCCGGCCCTCCGCTCTCCCGAGGCGCCTCAGACCCCGCCTGCCCCTTCATGCGGCTGAGACCCAGGAGAGGGCTGGGGGCGTCTCCGCCCTGGCACAAGCGGTGGCGCCCCAGTCTGCCACGGCCCTGGCTCATGTCGGGAGCCGGGACGCACTCCCAGCTGGGCGGCGCCAAGGAAGCGTTTGGGCCTTTGGGCGTTGCCTTCCTGGGGCCCCGGCGGAGGGGGGCTTCGGGGCTTCACGGCCCGCGCTG